ATCCCCAACCCCCCCAATCTCCAATCCCTATCCCTTAACCCTACTTGTACCCAATCCCCCACTCCCCCTAAACCCCACTTGTACCTAATCCCCAACCCCACTTGTACCCAGTCCCCAACCCCACTTGTAACTAATCCCCAACCCCACTTGTCCCACAACCCCACTTGTAACCCAATCCCACGTGTACCCACCCTCCAATACCTAATCCCCAACCCCACTTGTACCCCACTCTAATCCCCAACCCCACTTGTATCCCCAACCCCACTTGTACCCAATCCCCAACCCCACTTGTACAACTAATTCCCAACCCCACTTGTACCCAATCTCCAACCCCACTTGTACCCTAATCCCCAACCCTCTTTGTACCCAATCCCCAATCCCACTTGTACCTAATCCCCAACCCCACTTGTACTCAAATCCCAATCCCCACTTGTATCAATCCCCAACCCCACTTGTACCCAATCTCCAACCCCCACTTGTTATTCCCAACCCCACTTGTACCCAATCTCCAACCCCACTTTAATCCCCAATCCCCAACTCCACTTGTACCCAATCTCCACCTCTACTTGTAACCCCCTCAAGCCCAGTTGTGCCCCCCTCAACCCCGGTTGTAACCCCCACTCAATCCACACCCCTGTCATCTTCTCACACTGTTCACACCATCCCTCATTGCTCTTCATCTGATATAAACTTCGCTTCCCATGTCTAACACACTCACAGTATTGCTCTTACTAATCCTTTAGTATGTGTTCATAAAACAACCTCTTTTCCATTCTCATCCCTTTTCCAGCTCAGCTCAGACTTAATGGTTGCTTGAATATTCATGGATATATTCCTATATTATTTTATTTAACTTGGGCATGTACAAAACTTTTTGTCAGGGTCAGTAAAATGTGCGTACATGAATGAACGCATGTATGCATGCACCCGAACAGCCACGCACGCACGCACGCCCATGACCTTCCGAACACTGTTGAATTATTTTAATAACACTTTTGCATGTTCGTAACTCAATGTCAGGGTCATTGTGATAATCTCAGACATGCACGCACGCCCCCCTGACCCCACTAGTACTGTTGAGATATTTTTTAAAACTTGGAAACATATACATAATTTTGTCATTGTCTGTATGTTTGTCACACACATACACCCACCCCAGTCCCCCAACACTCATCTCCCCCCCCCTAAGGGCAATCCACCACAGGTACATCTACCTGAGGGGTGCAGCTTCCTGTTCGACCACCCCAAGGCTAATTTTAATGAGTGTAGTAACAATAGCATTGTTCAGCCGTGAGTATCAGTTGTATCATGGATCAATAGAATGGATAATATTATTTCTTGAACTGTCATTTTCTAAAGAACCCCCGCTGTACTCTCTCATTTGCTAATTAGCAGGACCAACTTCTTTTTGTCTGTCAGATAACATTTTTGCAGCAGCTTAAAGATTAAACAGATAGCTTTGAGACTTGGGAGATATGGATTAACCCATGCCTTTGATGTTTGTTTAAGTGACCCACAACACTGAATTATTTCCAAATGGTTTTTCATAGGTGTGTGTGAGGCGTTATGTTAATTATTGAAGATTAATACAGGACATTAAGTCGTGTGTTGGCCCACTTTGATTAAAGGGGAAGGTGTCTGGCTATTAGAGAACCTGTGTATAATGAAACTGCAGATTACAGGGCACTGGTGTTTGACCGATGTAGATAAATTTGATATCTTTGTTTCATTGTAAGTGAATGGCACGTTTTAAGTAATGACAAGGAGTTAACTGTTTAATTGTTTCCGTAGTAAGATTTTAAGCTGCGGTGTGTGTGGATTGAAAGATTAGGAAGAATAGACTTATCTTCAAAGTGTGATAAAATTGCGTAAGTAAGTGTTTTATCTATATGACAAGCTGTTCCAGGATCACATAATGTTAAAATGAGATTGAGGAGATATGTTTTGATAATGCAGATGGCCAACATGGGACTCTTTGTGGCTTGTTTTCATATTGTAAGAAGTTTTTCATTCTTCCTGGTGAAATAAAATTCAAATGGGCAAAAAAAGTTATTGAAGTAACACTTTGATTTATATTATCATTAAAAACACACCTTTCATTTCTGTGCTCAATATTTATTTATTTCACCTCACAAAGTATAGCCTAGTGGTTAAAGCGTTCACTCGTCACGTTTAAGACCCTGGTTCGATTCCCCACATGGGTACATTGTGTGTCTCCCGTGATGATATTGCTGGAATATTGCTAAAAGCAACGTAAAACTAAACTCACTCACTCACTCGCCACTTATATTGTGCAGATGTATTTTACATTAATTCCTCTGAGCAATACACTGTTCTTGTCACAATCACAAGCCGACCCATGAAGATCCGGGTTAGAATGCACCTTCAGTAACCCATGCTTGTCGTAAGAGGCTACTAACGGGATCAGGTGGTCAGGCTCATTGGCTTGGTTGACACATGTCATCGGTTCCCAGTTGGGCAGATCGATGCTCATGCTGTTGCTCACTGGATTGTCTGGTCGGGACTCGATTATTTACAGACAGCCGCCATATAGCTGGAATATTGCTGAGTGCGACGTAAAACTAAACTCACTCACTCACAATCACAAGGGTGTAGATACCTTTGACATTATACAAGATTTAGTATCTGAATCTGTATAATTTTGATAGAAACAAACAATTCTTTAATTTGAAAAAGCAAAAGTGAGATTCAGAACCTAAGGAAATCTAGATATGGTTCATCTAGTAGTCCAAGAGCCCGGGGGTGATTTTTGTACCGAGAGAGGCCAAAAGGTTTGAACATGTATTCTGATGTAAAATTGCCTCACGAATCCCAAAAAATCAGTCTTACAAATCAAAGCTGTGGCTTTAGCCCACTAGGGGGCGCTGAAGTGATGACTCAGCAGTTTTTTCAGGTAAACTGATGCATCACTTCAAATGACACTTCCCAACCATAAATACTCAGTATTTGACCCAAAGTGGTTGCAAAGTGAAGAAGAAAGGTCAATGTCTAATTTCACAATGTAAAATGGTCAACAGAGTAGAATGTAGAGCAATTACATATTGTTTTTCTTCTTAGATTAAGGAATTTTTGTCGTTCTACAACCTGAGGTTCAGTGTATTGAAACTAAAATGTAATATAATATGGTACTAAAGGCTTATAAATATGTTAAAATGTGCAAAGAATACAAATATATCAATAAAATTCATATGCCGCTCAAGATAAGTGTTTTTGGATTCGTGAGGCACTTTTACATCAGAATACATGTTCAAACCTTTTGGCCTCTCTCGGTACAAAAATCACCCCCGGGCTCTTGGACTTATGAATTGCAGGAAGGGCTTGGCAGAATGGAAAATAATGTGGTTCAGGGACTGTGAGACAGACTACTCTGACTGACACCTTTGGTACTTGTAACATATGTTATATTTGGGATTACTCTTTCTTAGTTAAGTACAATTTCTAGTATTTTTGTTGAGTTGAGTCCCATCCGGGATTCGAATCCACACCCTCAGTCAGGCACAGTCGCCAGCACACAAAGTCAAGACGCCTAACCTGCTCAGCCACCGCTGAGTTGGAAATGGAAGTTGGACAACTGGTAGTCTAGACCACGGACTTTGTGTACCCCTCTGATAAGTGTAAATTGGCATGGTTCCCTTGGCTGAAAGCTGTGAATACACTAAGGCTGTAACGATTCTCTCGCATATTCACTGAATCGAACCGTAGCCCTTCATGAATTCAATTCGTTATTCGTGGTCACCAGAACCGAATATTAACGAATATTTACAATATTTTTAAGGGAGCATTTTTTACTTGAACCCTTATGTCCTTTCCAAAGTGAGATATGCAAGAATGGAACATGTACTAGCATTGCAGAAGTGCAAGTCATGTTAGTTTGCCAAAACTTTACATGGTACTGTCGACTATAACTATTACATACCAAATTTGAGTGTCATGAGATCACTGGTTATTGCTGTGACAAATCAAAACTGTCAACATGGACATTCCATAAAGTGCATCAATCACTTAACTACAATATTATATTCGTGAATAATCATTCGTATTCGTTACCCAAAATTCATGATACGTATCATATTCGCCACATAGTGTATTCATTGCAGCCCTAGAATACACAATGCCATTTAGAAAGTGGTCAAATGTAACATATGTTATATTTGGAATTACACTTTTTTAGTTTCTAAATGGCATTGTGTTTTTATCTTAGGTACTGCTATTTGGTGTCATGTCCTCATACCAACATGGTCCCTAGTATGGTGTCCTACCTTCAGTTATCACGATCTATAGCCCATTTCAATATTGTGTCGTCACTTACCAGTTTACTGTTTTATATGTTCCCTAACTAGTTTTTATTAAAATGTGATGTACTAGTTGTTGTACTGTCCTTTGGAGACAGGATTTATAACCTTAAAATATATTTCATACTTTTTTATTGCTGTATAAGTTTCTCTCATCACGGTATGGCTAAAATATTGACGATCTGATGATAAATATTAACTCACTCACTCACTGTGCATACCAAAAACGTGATGGTTCAAATCGTGCTTGTGGGTTTCACCACAGTGGTGAAAGTGCATCACTTTGGGCATTAAGCTGACATTCCATATCGTACTGGAGTACTATTGAAAGCTGTCTTAAACCCAATTCACTCACTTACTCCAGACTTGACAGAAAGGTGTAAGCAAATAGTGAGATTGTCATCTGAGGACAAAAGATTTCATTTTCTGCAAGAAAAAATATTTTTAAAATGCTTCTTGTCAGCCGTTTGAAAATGTCTAATACATTCCATAACATGACCATGTTATTGCAACTGTTCAATTTGACATTTCCCGTGACCCAAAATCATCCCTTGTGCCTCCATTTCAAGGGGTGAAGGTGGCCCTGTTGTCTGAGGCACTATGCTGCGCAGGCTTGTGTCCCTTGTGTCTCCTCACCACATGTTATTTGTGTCTCTGATGTTGATGTATCAGTGGTTTTGTTTTCAGAAAGCTCAGAGTGGGCAGAGCAGCAGCGTCAGTAACGATTTCCTGGAACTACTTCTGTTCGGTACACCCAGGTAGGGCAGATGGCATCTGGCTCTCTTGACCTTTACTTCAGGGGCCATTTTTATAAACATTCTCACAACCATATAGGGGCGGTGGGGCAGCCTATTGGTTAGAGCATTTGCTCGTCATGAAGACCCGGGTTTAATTTTCCACATGGGTACAATGTGTTAAGAACATTTCTGGTGTGCCCCGTGGTGATATTGCTGAAATATTGCTTAAAGCGATGTAAAACCACTCTCTCTCTCTCACACACACACACATACACACACACACAGCTGCCTCCGTGGTGTAGTGGTTAGAGCGTCTGCCCAAAGAGCGGAAGGTCGCGGGTTCGATCCCCGACCGCGTCATACCAAAAGACGTTAAAATATGGTACTTGTTGGTCCCTGCCTTGCGCTCAGCATTAATGGGTACAACAAGGATTGGTCGGTTTGCAGTCAGTATAATGTGTCTGAGTGGGGTATTCATGCTTCACTGCGGCATGGTATCTCAGTGGGCTAGCACTATAAAACCAGCTTAAGTCTGGGCTAGTACAAGCAGCCACACATACACACGCATGCATGTCGTCATATGAGCGAAATATTCTCAAGCACGATGTTAAACCCAATTTCACCTCACCTCACCTCACCTCACCTCACCTCACCTCACCTCACCTCACCTCACATACACACACACACACACCCTTCATTTACTTTTATCTACTGTAACAGTAGAAAATATGAAATAAGTTCTCTTTAACATTAATGGCAGAGAGATATAGGCTCACGCTGTTGATCTCTTAATTGTCTGGTCCAGACGTGATTATTTACAGACTGCAGCCATATGGCTGGAATATTGCTGAGTGCAGCGTAAAACTAAACTCACTCACTCACTCACTGGCCAGCTTCTTCTTCCCTGGCCAACATTTAGGTATTTTATGACTGCTTCACTCACATAACTAATTCTGTTTCCAACAAACCATTCCATATTTTCTGGAACTGAAGAATGATCTACACGAGTTTATCAAATATTTGGGAAGACAACATTATCCTGGTATTCCTGCATAAGGTGTAAGGCAGTTTTGAAGTGTTAATGAAATTGAAAATTTTGTATTGACATAAGCGGGGCAGTGGGGTAGCCTAGTGGTTAAAGCGTTGGCTCGTCACACCGAAGACCCGTGTTCGATTCCCCACATGGGCACAATGTGTTAAGCCCATTTCTGGTGTCCCCCGCCGTGATATTGCTGGAATATTGCTAAAAGCGGCGTAAAACTAAACTCAGTCAGTCAGTCAGTATTGACATAAGCAATGTTGTAGCAATATGATGACTCGATACTGTTAGATGGTTTAAGGAAGACAGTTCCACTGTGGTTTTATTTACAATTTACATTGTGGCCGTATGTTTTCAGTGAGGAGCTGGAGCAGTTCTTGCAGCATGAACTAACAGAAAAGGTAAGCATGTTGCAGAATGTCTCACCCACCTCTTGTGTGTGGGTAAGTCTTTGGGGGCGGTGGGGTAGCCTAGTGGTTAAAGCGTTGGCTCGTCACGACGAAGACCCGGGTTCGATTCCCCACATGGGCACAATGTGTTAAGCCCATTTTCTGGTGTCCCCCGCCGTGATATTGCTGGAATATTGCTAAAAGCGGCGTAAAACTAAACTCAGTCAGTCAGTCAGTCAGTCAGGGTAAGTCTTTGTATTTAAGGGGTTATTAGAAACTTCATTTCTCCACAAAATAATTGAGAGTGCTTTGCAAATCGTGTGGAATACTTCTCTGGCCCTGCAAAATATAAATATCAAAATGCACATCGGTCAGAATTTGTGTGATGTTTGGTAATTGAAGATGGTAAGTTATTGTCGCCCCATTTTTTATATAGCAATCTTTGTGTGACAAGAGATAATAAATATCATGAAAATTTTGTGCACAGACTTTTAACTCCTTAATAATTGACTTCTTCATATTCATGTGCATTAAATAAAGAACAAATTATCTGAGATTTTCAGTTAGCCAGTCGTGATAGTTTTAACAACATATTACTGTCCCGATTCACAATCAGCTAGCCAGTAGCTATTTTGAATGCTGGATGTACGCATGCATCATCATAGTTTGATCAAACAATGACATTAGAGTCCTTGAAAGTCAAGTGAGATCAGTGATGTTGCCACCCTGCAGATCACGCTGCTTTCCCTCCACCTGGACTGGGACCAATGTTACTGCTGCAAGATCTTAGGACTCACAAACTGATACCCTCAGATTTAATGAAATATTCATAAGTACAGCCTTGTTTAATCTTCGTGTTTTATTGCAGGGTTTGAAGAAACTAGGTCATTCCATTGAGACATCCTATTCCAACATCCAGAAACTGGTTGTGAAACATTTACAGAGGTAAGGAAAATAGGAGATAATAATCAAAAAAGGCAACTTATAAATGCTAAAATAGGAGACACGACATAAGTCTGTTTCAGAAAAATTTCAGCCTGCTGTGACGTTTTTGTGAGTCTACTTAAACTGTAGGGGCGGTGGGTAGCCTAGTGCTCAAAGTGTTCGCTTGTCACACCAAAGACACGGGTTCGATTCCCCACATGGGTGCAATGTGTGAAGCCCATTTCTGGTGTCCTCCGCTGTGATATTGCTGGAATAACTAAACTCACTTACTCACACTTCTTCAACTGTAAGCACAATTTTTCTGTATATTTTGGGGCAGTGCTGTAGCCTTGTGGTTAAAGCGTTAGCTCATCATGCCAAAGACCCGGGTTCAATACCCCACATCAGTATAATGTGTGAAACCTATCACTGGTGTCCTCTGGCGTGATATTGCTGGAATATTGTCAAAAGGGTCGTAAAACAAACTCACTCACTCATTTACTCACTGTATATTTAGTTTGTTTTTAGCTGAACTTACTAGACCAAACTAAAATCACTTGACACAGGTTTTCACTTGATTTCACTTAACATCAGACACACCAACACTGTCCTCTCAATATAATGATAACAATTGGCAACTGATAAATTGGAGTGCTTCACCACAAAAACTGACACACATGACTTTATTGTGGTGGTGGAGTAAATTGCAGTCTCAGCTCCTTGAGGAGTATTCACTAACATTCTGTCATTCCTGTTGATATCACAAAGTTAATAAAAAGTGAGACCCGTGAAGATCCTGGGAAGAATAGGTCTTCAGCAACCCATGCTTGCCACAAAAGGCGACTATGCTTGTCGTATGAGGCGACTAACAGGATCGGGTGGTCAGGCTCGCTGACTTGGTTGATGCATGTCATCGGTTCCCAATTGTGCAGATCGATGCTCATGCTGTTGATGACTGGATTGTCTGGTCCAGACTCGATTATTTACAGACCGCTGCCATATAGCTGGAATATTGCTGAGTGTGGCGTAAAACTAAACTCACTCACTAATAAAAAAGTGAACACTAGTTACATGTTATAGCTTATTTGGATAAACTGATAAGAAATTTGTCGGCCAACAGAAGTTGTTGGTTAGGTGACAGAAACACTCACTTGGCATGTATTGAATAATTTTGGTTATCGATATGGCAACACTTAATATTGCACATGGGGACAGTCCTTGTTAATGCAAGTAATTGTAACGTAAACATTCCCTCTGGATTATGGTAGCCTAGAACCCTTCATAATTTTTCTGTATGGTCTTCTTGCATGACGTGCAGAGAATCGAGTGAAATTTCATTTCAAATCAAGACTTCAATTCTTCATATATTGGTCAGTTACAAATCGCATTCCATTTAATATTCAATTGCATTGCTGTTTGCATTTATATTAGATATATTTCCAACGTATTTAGGATCTGAAGTTTTCCCGCTCTTTTTTATTGACAAGTATGGCGCAGAGCAAATGTTTGCAATGTCAGAAATTCATGGCGGATGTTGATCCCCACTCTCTGTGTGCTTCCTGTTATAAAGGCTTACCTTGCTCAATCTTGGATCGATGCTTATTGTGTCAGGAAATATCTGAAGAAGATTGGTTGTTGATGGACAAATCTCGTTCCTTAGTTCATCGTCATCAGAATGTTCTAAGTCGAATAAAGTTCAGGGATCTCCGCCTTTATCTATTAAATCTGAACCGAAGTCTCGTTCCAGATCTTAAAAGAAATCCTCTCCCAAGTTGGATATATCTGCGTTCTCAGAACTTTTGGCAGGATTTAAGTCCGATATCCAGGTGGCCATGGATAAATCTGTACGGGATATGGACATGAGGAATAACGAAAAATTTAATCGCCTGTCAAAACATTTGGAGGATCCTGTTTTATCTAGCAAGACGGCAGATATCCGCAGTGGCTTAGTGGTCGATGGCAAGAGCCGGGGGCCAAAGTCACTTCCTACGGAAACCAGGGGTGCAATGACCGGGAAAGCCGGTTATCATGCCCTGGTGTACGTAGGAGGCTGGTCCCCTCAGGGATAGAAGCCTAGGGCTTCAAGCGACGGGGATGGAGTCGGCCCAGCCGGCTCCGGATCCGGGGTGACCGTGGCTCAGGCTACACACTCCGCGTCCTTTGTCCCCGGGAGCCAGTCATCCGTGACTGCTCCCTGTCGCATACAGCCTGCTACCTTCTCCCACGGGGAGACCGGGCTGCAAGCGTTTCATGGGTCTGACTCGGTCCAGACGGCACGTGATTCCCGCCCCGACTTGAGCCAGGCCACTTGGTCGGCTGCTATGGATAACGGTGTATCAACCCAGCAGTCTGATTTGCACGGGCCTAGCTGTTCAGAGGACACGGCTACGGACCCGCAAGGTTATTTTGACACAGACAATCCGCCCTTAATCCCGTTAATGTCTGATGTGACGGATCAGGAGGATTCATCGGTTTATCCTTTTTCACAACCGGAGTTTTGCATTAAAGAAGGCTTGTTGACGGTACAACCTATGGACATGTCAGCACAGGATTTTAAGCCAGGCTGGTCATTTAAGGAAAAGCTGGAACTTTTGCACGGACTTTATCCTAATACTCTACCACTGCCGTCAGACGAGCAGGAGATAGATATTCCATTGGAACTCGGATTATCAGGTTGTCTTCCCCCGGAACAGTTGCCCAGGCTGTCATTACCACGTTCATCATCACTTAAGAAAGTGTTGGAGAATTACAACTTAGGCCTCTCCAAGGCTACGAACTTGAGTTCTTTGCCTAGGGTTTCTCATAAACCCATTTATTCCATTCATGATCGTGTTATCCCAGCCAATCAACCAAGTTTAGACAAGGACTTTAAACAGTTACAGGATGCTAGAGGCTCTCGTGAATATGCACCGTTCTGTACTTTCTAGGATTGTAAGGAATTGATACGGCAGCCTGTTCGGTGATTGATACCCTATCTTATTCAAACTGGTTTTCTGCGGAAGTTCTTGCCTTGCTCCCACCGGTGTTTCAAGATTATACGGGAGTTAAGAAAGACACTTTGATTTCCATGAGGTAGGGGAGGTAGATCTTTTCGTGGATCAAGATCAACTTCCAAGAAATATTGACTCAAGTCTCACTGTTCAGCGTTCTCTTCTTTATGAATCGGAAACGTTCCTCAAAATGATATTGGATTTGGACTTTGTATGTCCGGTGACACAATCTCCAGTAGGGGGCAGATACTTAGACAATTGGAAACTAATAACATCAGACAGTGGGTCCTGTCTGTCGTTAGCAGGGGGTTTATTCTTCCTTGGCACAAGCAGCCTCCAGTGACTTGTTTTCCAGAGGGTCGTCTGTTTTGTCTACAAGGCCAACGTTTAGCGGGAGCAAACTTAACAATAAATCAGCTACTGGAGAAACGGGCAATCATAGAACTTCCTCCAGGGGATCATGCGGGTTTTATTCACTGGTATACCTTGTCCCCAAGAAAGATTCGGACGGAATGCACATGATAATAGACTTGAAAGTGTTGAACAAGCTATTTTTGAGGAAACTGCCAAAGTTTAAGATGGAATCAATTGGAAACCTACGCACCTTGATTCGTCAGGATTCCAAGTTTATAAGCATAGATCTAAAGGATGCGTATCTTCATATCCCTATTCATCCAAGATCTCACAAATACCTAAGATTTGCGGTGAACGGCTGCAGGTTTCAGTTCAGGGTGCTGCCGTTCGGAATATCTCTAGCGCCGTGGTTGTTCACAAAAATAATCTCCCCGATTTTTGGCTTTTCTTCATCCACAAAGGATTGCGATACACGGTTATCTTGACGATTTCTTGGCAAGGAATGTGGTGACAGCGGTTCTCATGAAGCAAACCAACTTTATAATCCACGTCTTTACGCATCTGGGTCTAATAGTTCATCTTACCAAGTCATAACTGGTCCCTTCCACGAGAATCAAGTTTCTGGGAGCAATCTTGGACTCAAGAGCAGGCCGTATTTATACTCCTCAGGATCGTTGGTTGGAAATATCAACCAAGATAACCAATATGTTACAGAGGCCAGCTGCATCAGTTTGTTCATGGATGTCCCTTCTAGGATCTCTCACTTGAATCCAGGATTATACTGTAAGAGGAAGACTAAGATTGAGAATCCCGCAGATCTGGCTCAACCAGTTTCGGGATGGAAGACTTGGAACTTCTCATAGCTTCTTCCGAAGGGAGATATTATGGTGGACGGTGGACATGAATGTGTTGCCAGGAGTTTCATTACGTCCTCGTTTACTGGATCTGACGCTTTATGCGGATGCCTCGAACACGGGTTGGGGTGCACACATGGACATTTGGCAGATTCAAGGTGTGTGGAATCTGTCAGAGGTGAATCTGCATTTAAGTGTCGGGAGATGTTAGCACTGTTAAAAGCGATCCGTTGCTTGGGGAATCGCTTGTACGGGAAGAGTCTCATGTTAGTATCGGACAATTCCCGGGTTTTATGGCATCAGGTATTATATAATTCCTACTATTACGGATTAGGATTATCATGATATCTATCATATCAACCATAACTGTAGGAAGTTAGAAGACTCTCCATCTCTGGGAATGTATTCCCTCACTGCTACTGAACAATCTGGAGATAAATTATTTATCTCTGACTAAGTCATAGTTATTCTTAGGAGGTTGAGTAATCAACTCTCAGTTAGTGGTATAGAGGGTAGTATCTTCCAAGGGTAACCCTCCTTCCTTACTTGGGATTCAGGCTACCATAATCCAGAGGGAATGTTTACGTTATAATTAGGAACAATTACATGTATTGTTAGTAATTGTTAGTAAACTTACCCCTGGATTATGGGGAGTAGTTTCCACCCTGTGTCCTCCCCACGAATTTGTCCTTAGAAGATGTCATAGATGTGTTGTTTTCAGAAAAATTATGAAGGGTTCTAGGATAACAATACAGTGACGTAAGGATCAAGGGAAATAACTCAGGGGTAGATTAGGTATACCACTAGGAATAGCTATGACTTAGTGTTAAAATAAATTTGATTTTCTGTATGTATTCTGTGTATCCACAAGAATAAGGCTACCATAATCCAGAGGTAAGTTTACTAACAATTACTAACAATACATGTAATTGTTCCTTTTCTGAACGATAATTCATATATTATTTCAATATTCATATATTTCAGTAATTTAGCAAATGGCATGTTCATTGTCATGTTCAATGTCATTTTCAATATGTTCCTGGGGTGTTGTGGAGATTTTATGAGTGCTTCTCCCTACAGTGTCAGCCAAGCCTTGGTGTACCATCTGAGTGAGCTGCGGGGAATGTCGTTGTGGTACGACAAGTTCGGGGTGCTGGGTCTCGACACCACAGATCTACAGAAGGCTGTGCAGCTTGCAGGAAGCTTTGTGCTCAACACCAGTCAGCTACAGCAGTAAGTAAAACAGGCTCCCATTGGTGGAATTGGTAATTGTTGTCTGAGTAACATAGGCTCCCATTGGTGGAATTGGTAATTGTTGTCTGAGTAACATAGGCTCCCGTTAATGGAATTGGTAATTGTTGGCCGAGTAACATAGGCTCCCATTTGTGGAATTGGTAATTGTTGTCTGAGTAACATAGGCTCCCATTAATGGAATCGGTAATTTGTTGGCCGAGTAACATAGGCTCCCATTAATGGAATTGGTAATTGTTGGCCGAGTAACATAGGCTCCCATTAATGGAATTGGTAGTTGTTGTCTGAGTATCATAGGCTCCCATGGTGGAATTGGTAATTGTTGTCTGAGTAACATAGGCTCCCATTTGTGGAATTGGTAATTGTTGGCCGAGTAACATAGGCTCCCATTTGTGGAATTGGTAATTGTTGTCTGAGTAACATAGGCTCCCATTGGTGGAATTGATAATTGTTGGCCGAGTAACATAGGCTCCCATTGACGGACTTCGTGATTTTTTGTCAGTGAGCAATACAAGCTACCAGTAGTGGAAAGATACTTGGCTGCATGCAGTTCAAGGGAGATAACTGTTATCATTATTGGTTCAATGTGTTCTTTTGTTTCTCAATATTTCAAAGAAAATAGGTGAACACTGTTTAGAAATACTGATTTGATTTACGTTCACTTAAGAACATTTGAAGCTCTAAGTATATGGTGAAGTTAATATTTGTAAAATTTTGCATGAACTTTACTTCCAACTACCAATCCATTCAGTAAACTGTACTAGAGAAATTAAGGTCATAGATTACAATTTGGGAGAGTAAGATTGTGTATTTTCAGGTGTGTTAATTGTTTTGAATTGGAATATATATGAATTGGAATATATATAGTCACCTGTTTAATTTCTACATGGCCAAGGGGCGGTGGGGTAGCCTAGTGGTTAAAGCGTTGGCTCGTCACGCCGAAGACCCGGGTTCGAATCCCCACATGGGTACAATGTGTGAAGCCCATTTCTGGTGTCCCCAGCCGTGATGTTGCTGGAATATTGCTAAAAGCGGTGTAAAAAACAAACTCAGTCAGTCAGTCTACATGGCCAAGGGGAGATAACTGATACTGTTTTCTATTTTAGGGTGATTGATGGTAGCATCAAGAATTTCAAGGCATTTTTCAGATGGCTGTACGTTGGTAAGATGTTTTACTTGTTACATAAGTTATAGACTGAGTATAAACCTTATGTCCTTTGATATCAATTTAGTCAGTTGAGTCTTGGCTTGCTGGATAAGATGGTTTATACATGGGCAAGTGTTGATATATTTAATATCAGAAGACATCAGGGCAAGATTCTGTTTTAATTTATCATCAAGATCATTAGTTCAGCTTGTGAAACCATAATAATCAGTGTTGAATGTTGTCATTTTTGTTTAAGTGTTAAAGTTACACATGGGCATGTTTTCTTAATGTAACTGTTATTATCTTTGCAGTGATTTTACGTCTTTCGAATGAACAACCACCAGCAGAACTGAGCAAGGTAAGACTGGGATGTTTGAAACATGAGTTAAGTTGTGATGAGAAAACCTAGTGGTTAAGGTGTTTGCTTGTTATACAGAAGTCCTGGGTTCAATTCCGTATCTGGATACTAGGTGTGAAGCTTATTCCAAGGGTTATTTGTTGTGATTTTTCAGGAACATTGCTAAAAGTTGTGAGAAACATGGAATATGATATTTTACTCGCTTTCTGATAATTAAAGGTGTATTTTTGCAGTTCTCATATTTGGATGAGATGTACGGAAATCTTATGTCACATTGCTACATTGATGAATACAAGTATTGATAGAGGTGAGGTGAAATTGGGTTTTACGTCGTGCTTGAGAATATTTCGCTCATATGACGACGTGCATGCGTGTGTATGTGTATGTGCGGCTGCTTGTACTAGCCCAGACTTAAGCTGGTTTTATAGTGCTAGCCCACTGAGATACCATGCCGCAGTGAAGGATGAATACCCCACTCAGACACATTATACTGACTCCGAGGCGACCAGTCCTTGTTGTACCCATTAATGCCAAGCGCCAGGCAGGGACCAACAAGTACCATATTTTAACGTCTTTTGGTATGACGCGGTCGGGGTACGAACCCGTGACCTTCCGCTCTCCGGGCGAACGCTAAGTATTGATAGAACAATAGATACTTGAGATATGTTCTTTGTGGACTTGTCATGTCTTTCTATTTGCAGATGACACAACACGATGTAAACTTTGTGGCTGAGTTTCTGCGGGACAACTTCACACAGTTTTCTCCAGTAAGAATTCTGTTGTCTAATCTTATATAGATGCTTCAGATTCTTAGTAATAACTGAAATAAGGCTGACAAGTGCTTACAAAAGTTAGCATAAAACCCAAGTCATTCCTCATTGGGATTCTGGTACCAAGCAACCCATTCTTGTCGTAAGAGATGACTACCAGGATAAGGTACTCATGATCAGTCTTGCTGACTTGGTTGACACATGTCATCATTTACCAATTGTGTAGATCAATGCTCATTATGTTGATCATTGGATTGTCTGGTCCACACTCGATTATTTACAGATTGCCATCATATAGCTGGATTACTGCAGAGTGTGGTGTTAAACAACAAACAAACAAATAAACCTGTATTGAAATAAGATATCATCTACAGCATGCAACATTTCATCTGACTTAATCTGTATTGTATGTAATAAATTGCTTGAAGCATTCATAAAAGCTCAAATGTAGATCTTGTGATGTGATTAATTGATTTCCCATAAAAGTATAAATCTTGCGATATGATTAACTGAACATCCTATAAAAGTGTAGATCTTGTGACGTGTTTAATTGAAGATCCCATAAAAGTGTAGATGTTGTGATGTGATTAATTGAAGATCTGATGAAAGTGTAGATCTTGTGATATGATTAATTGAAGATCCCATACAAGTGTAGATCTTGTGATATGATTAATTGAAGATCCCATAAAAGTGTAGATGTTGTGATGTGTTTAATTGAAGATCCCATACAAGTGTAGATGTTGTGATGTGATTAATTGAAGATCTGATGAAAGTGTAGATCTTGTGATATGATTAATTGAAGATCCCATACAAGTGTAGATGTTGTTATGTGATTAATTGAAGATCTGATATCATCTACAGCATGCATTATTTTATCTGACTTGATTTCCACATTGGATGGATAAATTACTTGAAACATTCATAAAAGCTCAAGTGTGACGTGATTGATTGAAGATCCCACAAAATAGTTTTTATGAATTGAGTTGACTCTTGTGTTGGTGTACTTTCCAGGAAGCCAACAACCTGTTTGGTGAATCAGATTCCGGGAAGAAGTCAGGATTTAAACTGGAAAAGGTTGGGCAGGTAAACAATGTTAAAGGCTTATAGGAGACCTGGAGTATCTCATGAAAATCAATTATTAATCACTGATATAATACTTTTCTGTGTGATGGCCTGTGGATACCTACATGGTTGGTCATGGAAGGTAAACATTTTGCTTTGCCATTCAATGTGCAGGTTTCCAAAATCTAGATATGACTGAGCATAGTATACAAACATATCTGATTTTACGCAGCCATTCATTGTGACTACTAAAGGGATTGAGTGGCCAGGCTCACTAATTTGGTTGAGTCATATTGAGTCCAAATTATGTGGATTGATGTTCATGATATAAATCACTGGATTGTCTAGTTCAGATTCACTTATTTATGGACTGCCATCATATAGATGAATTGTTAACTTGCAGTGGTAACAGCAAGCTTAACCACAGTGCATTTGTATTGGAAACTGCATCATGGTCCAAGGGAGATAATCTAATGCCTGTCATTGTTGGTTTGGTGTCTGTTGAGTTTGTCAATCATTCTTTATGCTGTTTTCAGTATTTAAAGAAAGAAAATCTGTCTTCTCCACCTGACACATCAAACAACCCCTGGCAACAGTACCTCAATGCCAGTACATTCCATACAGGTGAGACAAAGTATCTGATTGTGAGCAAGTTATAAAGGTGGCACATACAGTACCTCAATGCCAGTACATTCCATACAGGTGAGACAAAGTGTCTGATTGTGAGCAAGTTATAAAGGTGGCACATACAGAATCAGATTCTGATTAAGATGACTTATTATTATACAGGTGAGACACATACAGTACCCCAGTACAAGCACTTTCCATACAGGTGAGACACATACAGTACCCCAGTACAAGCACTTTCCATACAGGTGAGACACATACAGTACCCCAGTACAAGCACTTTCCATACAGGTGAGACACATACAGTACCCCAGTACAAGCACTTTCCATACAGGTGAGACACATACAGTACCCCAGTGAGACAAGCACTTTCCATACAGGTGAGACACATACAGTACCCCAGTACAAGCACTTTCCATACAGGTGAGACACATACAGTACCCCAGTACAAGCACTTTCCATACAGGTGAGACACATACAGTACCCCAGTACAAGCACTTTCCATACAGGTGAGACACATACAGTACCCCAGTACAAGCACTTTCCATACAGGTGAGACACATACAGTACCCCAGTACACTTTCCATACAGGTGAGACACATACAGTTTCCAGTACATGCACTTCCAGGTGAGACATACAGTACCCCAGTACAAGCACTTTCCATACAGGTGAGACACATACAGTACCCCAGTACAAGCACTTTCCATACAGGTGAGACACATACAGTACCCCAGTACAAGCACTTTCCATACAGGTGAGACACATACAGTACCCCAGTACAAGCACTTTCCATACAGGTGAGACACATACAGTACCCCAGTACAAGCACTTTCCATACAGGTGACAAGCACTTTCATACATACAGTACCACTTTCCATACAGGTGAGACACATACAGTACCCCAGTACAAGCACTTTCCATACAGGTGAGACACATACAGTACAGTACACATACAGTACCCCAATTACAAGCCCCATACAGGTGACACATACAGCACTTTCCATACAGGTGAGACACATACAGTACCCCAGTACATGCACTTTCCATACAGGTGAGACACATACAGTACCCCAGTACACACTTTCCATACAGTAGACACATACAGTACCCCCAGTACAAGCACTTTCCATACAGGTGGAGACACATACAGTACCCCAGTACAAGCACTTTCCATACAGGTGAGACACATACAGTACCCCAGTACAAGCACTTTCCATACAGGTGAGACACATACAGTACCCCAGTACATGCACTTTCCATACAGTAGACACATACAGTACCCCAGTACATGCACTTTCCATACAGGTGAGACACATACAGTACCCCAGTACATGCATGCACTTTCCATACAGGTGAGACACATACAGTACCCCAGTACAAGCACTTTCCATACAGGTACAGTACCCCAGTACAACCATACAGGTGAGACACATACAGTACCCCAGTACATGCACTTTCCATACAGGTGAGACACATACAGTACCCCAGTACCAGCACTTTCCATACAGGTGAGACACATACAGTACCCCAGTGCAAGCACTTTCCATACAGGTGAGACACATACAGTACCCCAGTACAAGCACTTTCCATACAGGTGAGACACATACAGTACCCCAGTACAAGCACTTTCCATACAGGTGAGACACATACAGTACCCCAGTACAAGCACTTTCCATACAGGTGAGACACATACAGTACCCCAGTACAAGCACTTTCCATACAGGTGAGACACATACAGTACCCCAGTACATGCACTTTCCATACAGGTGAGACACATACAGTACCTACGTCCCAACAGTTTCAATGGACTCAAAAAAGTTCTTATGCTGTTTTATGTTGCACAATTGTCATTATTATGTAGTTTTTTTAATTCAAATATACTATTTTGCATTTACTTTGTGCCCATATGAAATTGTTACAAAATTTAGAAATGACCACAACAGTGATCCATAGTTTGATGTGACATTGTGTTGTTTATATTACAGACAGCCCTGTGCTGTACCCAGTAGATAGCAACCACTCTCTTGTACAGCTCCAGGTGGAGTAGATGACCACAACAGTGTTCCATAGTTTGATGTGACATTGTGTTGTTTATATTACAGACAGCCCTGTGCTGTACCCAGTAGATAGCAACCTCTCTCTTGTACAGCTCCAGGTGGAGTAGATGACCACAACAGTGATCCATAGTTTGATGTGACATTGTGTTGTTTATATTACAGACAGCCCTGTGCTGTACCCAGTAGATAGCAACCTCTCTCTTGTACAGCTCCAGGTGGAGTAGATGACCACAACAGTGATCCATAGTTTGATGTGACATTGTGTTGTTTATATTACAGACAGCCCTGTGCTGTACCCAGTAGATAGCAACCACTCTCTTGTACAGCTCCAGGTGGAGTAGATGACCACAACAGTGATCCATAGGTTGATGGGATATTGTGTTGTTTATATTACAGACAGCCCTGTGCTGTACCCAGTAGATAGCAACCACTCTCTTGTACAGCTCCAAGAGCAGCTGGTTGAGCTGATGACCACAACAGTGTTCCATAAACCAGCGGTCAGTACAAACCATATTTGTATGGAGATAAGCATAAATCAGATTAAAAGGCCACACCTGTCAGTTGTCTCAGGTGCTGCAATGTGCTGTGCAAGATTGTATCTGTAATCATAGCAGCAACCTGTAATCGTGGGTTCAAATCCCAGGTTTGTCCTGGTCTTTCTTGGTTTGTCTGCATTATGCCCTTGCTCATGCAAGGCTCAATTTAGTGCTTTGTTACTTGCACTGGTGCAACCCAATATTACATAGTGCAACCTAGTTATTAGTCTAACTTGCACCAAGTGCAAGTCAATGTTTGAGTGGGTAAACTTCTTAATAATTCAGTAGCATATTTCTTTCATTACATAATGCAATAAAAGCAGTACAACTGAAATCTGGCTGGTGCAACTGTTTTATCTTAGGTTGCACCTGGTGCAAGTAGGTTAACATCTCTTAAATCGAGCCCTGTCATGGATATCCCATAATGGAAAACATCAAAGACTCGCAGCAATTCAGCTTTGTACCCATGTCTAGCTGGCACTTGATATAACCGAAATGGAATCTACATGCAGACTTAACCCAAACACACCAACTCTAGTGGATGTAAAACTTTCTTTCTTTGGTTGGTAAATAAACTTATTAGTATCAGTTTGGAACATGTGACTTTTATAGCGTCTCTAGTATTGCCTATCAGAACACCATAGCCTACTGAGGGGAGGTGGGGTAGCCTAGTGGTTAAAGCGTTGGCTCGTCACGCCGAAGACCTGGGTTCGAAATCCCAACATGGGTACAATGTGTGAAGCCCATTTCTGGTGTCCCCTACCGTGATGTTGCTGGAATATTGCTAAAAGCGGCGTAAAACCAAACTCAGTCAGTCAGTCAGCCATAGCCTACTGTGTTTATTCCACCTATCTCAGTTTACATCCAGGACTCGGTGGAGTAGCCCAGAGGTTAAAGCTTTGTCTTGCAGTACTGAATGCTACAGCTATTGTCCTCCTAGTTATGGTATTTGAGGTCCTTGAGGTAGCCTAATGTCAGCTTTGTCAAGACATGACGGATTAAGTATAATATAAAAGAATCAGTTACTCCGTTACATTTTTTTAGTAATATGAGATGATAAATAAAAATGGATGACATGCCTATGATCTTCATATAGACAGACAGATGATTTTATTTATGTCTCACTTGTAGTTACATTCGCCATCGCGAAGACCCGGGTTCCAATCCCCACATGGGTACAATGTGTGAAGCCCATTTCTGGTGTCCCCCGCCGTGATGTTGCTGGAATATTGCAAAAAGCATAAACCAAACTCAGTCAGTCAGTGTAGTTACATTAAAGCACATAGAATTATCACAGATATACAATAAAATATAGATTAAATGTACTTCGACCAGTCACTCAGCGACTTATGAGAGACAATATCACATTATAAACATACAAAATACATGGTGAAATATGTACATGTGCATGTAATGTTGTGTGTTTCAGGTTGTGATAGGCCAGTCCCTCCACTGTATGTGCACCAACCATCTCTTCACACTCACAAGGTAGGCGATGCAAGAGGCAAAGCCAGAATGTAGTACTGGGCCCTCATTCTCGAAACGTTCATAGTCCTAAGAATTGTTAACTTTGATCGTAGCCAATGTGTTAAGAATGTGCTTAAGAAGTTTGTAAGGCTACGAACGTTTCGAGAATAGCTAGCCTGAACTCTAAATAATCAATGATCATACATTTATTCCTGGGTTTTGGTTTGAAAGTCATTCAGGAATGAGTGGAGATGGATTTTTATTTTTTTAAAATTTTTTTTTGGTGCCATTTTTTAGGTACAGAGAATTTGAGACCTTGTGGGCATTTTGGGTTAACCCAGACATGCCTGTTAGATGATTGATGTTACCTTAGCTGAATGGAATTTGTTCAGAACATCAATCACCTGTTTATCCGGTCCATAATTGATAATTGATTAAATGGCTTGAATATTGCTGTGTGTAGTTGTAAACCACAGACAGGCTTGTGTCCTTACGGCAGACATTTTCTCTCTTAATGCTACTGCCACTGTGAAAGATCTTCTAAAGGATTATTACTAATGTCCTTGTTTTCCTTCTAGACCTGAAGATTCCACTCCTAGGAAGCCGGTCTTCTGTCAGTAAGTTGAACTTTGCTTGATCAAGATGAAGGGTTTACTTTAAATACTTACCCGTGAAGGTCCGGGTTAGAATATTGATCTTCAGTAACCCATGCTTGTCGTAAGGGCGACTAACGGGATCGGGTGGTCAGACTCACTGACTTGGCTGACACATGTCATCAGTTCCAAATTGCGCAGACCGATGCTCATGCTGTTGATCACTGGATTGTATGGTCCAGACTCGATTATTTACAGACTGCAGCCATATAGCTGGAATATTGCTGAGTGCGGCGTAAAAATAAACTCACTCACTCACTCACTCACTCACTTTTAAATACTATTGCAGATCAATAACAACTGAAACATGATTTGTAATTCAGAGCTGAATCATCAACAGGAAGCAAGCTTAAGGGTCCGAGCGGGAGGGGGTTACAGTGTTGTAAACAGATAGGGTGCTTGAGAGGGGCGGTGGGGTAACCTAGTGGTTAAAGTGTTTTCTCGTCATTCCGAAGGCCCGGGTTTGATTCCACACATGGGTACAGTGTGTGAATCCTATTTCTGGTGTCCCCCACCGTGATATTGCTGGAATATTGCTAAAAACTGCGTAAAACTGTATCCACTCACTGTGCTTGAGGACCCGTGAAGGTCCGAGTTAGAATTGATCTTCAGTAACCCATGCTTGTCGTACGAGGCGACTAACGGGATCGGGTGGTCATGCTCGCTGATTGGATTGACACATGTCATCGCATCCCAATTGCGTAGATCGATGTTCATACTGTTGATCCCTGGATCCAGACTTGATTATTTATAGACCTCAGCCATATAGCTGGAATATTGCTGGGTGCGGCGTAAAACTAAACTCACTCACTCACTCACTGTGCTTGAGTACCAAGGTTGGGTGAGTAGTTGTTAGAGGAAGGAGTTCTAGTTCAGGGTGTGGTTAGTCGTTGTCAGGGCAGGAAGTGATCTTGGTAACAGGTTGATACATGTTTGTCTTGGTGAGCTGATGTTTGTACTGAAGTGACCTTTTATCTACTGCAGGTTCACAGATGTCGAGAGACAAAGGTGCTACACGGTCTTCACAGCAGACTTCCTTCCATGTGACAAGTTCCTTGTGCTCCAGCAACCCACAGACCCCAACAGGTAGCACGCTCATCACAGATCCATAACAGTATAATCACATGAAATGAAATAATAATTTCAATTGTAAATTTTATGTTGGCTATTAAAACATACAAGATTGACAATTGGGTGAGTGTTGAATTGACCCCCGCTGCATGTGTAAAAGTTGTTTTAGAAAAATCCCCAAACAGGTTTGACCACATTCATTCTTTCTTGGTGATGTTGGTCTTGGTAGTGTCGTCCTATTTCATGTAATGTTAATTGTAGTTGAAGGTAAAACGGATACAAGAAGGCTATATGGGCCAAAACCAGTTACAGCGAAATGTGAAGAGTTATTTCCCCTTGTCCATATTCCCCTTGCCTGTCACAATGCTCAAATATTTTACTAGCGCTTCACTTAATAATCATCTCTTGTGCAATGTTACTACTTTTAGCAATGTTCCATGGAATTCTGATGCTATGTATGTTATTTCGTTTACTTATATGCCCTTTGAGAAAAAATGTGTTTCAAGATGTTGTACATTTCCACAATTCTACACAGGACTGACACAGACAGCGGCATCCTGGCCGTATCCATTGGAACACTGGCATCCTCCAACCCCAACAGCAGTGCCACATCTGACTCAGAAAGGTAGGATCCTGTTGCTTCTGTGACATGTTTTTATTTACCATGCATGTTACTTGGGGACCTTGTGGTGGGACACAGTGGCTCAGAATCACTGTTCAGAGTAGTGTCCCCTGGCTCACACAATGTGCTAGATTTGAATCTTAATTCTCATCTCTCCATCTGTCCGTCTGTAATCATTTTGTTTCCGGAGTATAACTCAAAAAACGTTCAAAATCTTTCAGTAAAACTTGGCAGATATATGAGGCAGATCCCAAAGTGGTGCCTTTTGCTATTTACAGATTTTTGTCATTTATATTTTTCATGGTTTCCATGGAAACGTTTTGGACTTAGTCTCAAAAGGGAAGGTGGGCTTCGTTGCTGGAGCACAACTCAAAAATAGTTCAATATCTTTCTTCAAGACTTGGCAGATATATCAAACAGATCTTGAAGTGGTGCCTTTTGCTATTTGCAGATTTTGGCATTTATACTTTTCCTGATTTCCATGATTTCCTGATTTGGACTTAGTCCCAAAAAATCAAGTTGGACTTTAAGTAACTGTCAGATGATTTGTTCTTTCAAATTTGTTGGGGCCGGGAGAATTTGTCATCTTCTGATGACTCTTGTAATAATTCTAATATTATTATGTTCTTATAATTATAATTATGATAATTATTGGTCTGTCTGCTATATAATCATGCCTCTAACCAATCATATTAAGTTCACAAGCTACAATCTGATTGTCCAACTGTGCAAAGTGAGAAAAAAATTCACTCTCTCTCTCACTCTCTCTCTCACATTATCCACTGTAGTGAAGCGTCATTCCTTTGTGGTAAATACCCAGGTTTTGTTTTGAGAACAATGTCATGAGGCTAAAACCAGCTCTCGAATCAAGATATTGTTATAAACGTGATAAATGCTTCACTATTTTACATAGAATAGTGACTCGACTGATGGATGTCACTGCGATTGCAGAGATTGATGCTTATGATGTCAGTGAGGTCATTCTGTATGATTTTGCAAAGGGATCGTAACATGTGAAAAGATATATTGGCGATGAAGATAGTGACATCAGTTCCAAACCGAATCTATAATAATAATAATCAAATCTGGACCAGATAATCCTGTGATTGGCATCATGCGCATCGACCTATTCAACTAGGGTACCATGCAAGTGGCAGAGGTAGCATTTAGCCTGTTAAGTGGTGATTATATGTTCTGAATACTATTTATGTTGTGGTGTAATTTTCAGTATATTTTTACATACCGTTTTGCATAAGTATAAATCTCGGATGTTTTTTTCGGTTCCAGGGTTTTAGAAAATGTTGATTTTTTAATCTGTCTACTCCCAGCATGGATGAAATATTGCCGTCATGACATTTGAACTAATTCCCATGGGTATCAAGTAGGGCTGGCTTAAAGAATCGACGGTGGAAAAAATATTTTATGGGAAGAATTATTAATGATCGTTGATTATGGAAATTGTGTCATGGCTTATATCTTACATAAACTATTGTGATGGAAGAAAGTTTTCATTTCCAGCTACAATGCAAGTTATTTATTTGCTGCTTCAGTTATTTTCAGGAGACTGTTACTGTAAGTGATTCATGTATCATGTTTCCTTTCAGACATGTTTTCATTTTTCTCCAAGAATGGGGTCGGTGGGGTAGCCTAGTAGTTAGAGCGTTTGCTTGTCACGCCGAAGACCGGGTTCGATTCCCCACATGGGTACAATGTGTGAAGCCCATTTCTGGTGTTCCCCGCCGTGATATTTCTGGAATATTGCTAAAAGTGGCATAAAACCATACTCACTCACTCACTCTCCAAGAATGTCTGATACATTTTGATAATTAATCGTTCATTTGTTAATGATTAGTGATCTCTTTGATTTTGATAACCAGCCCCAGTATTAAGACATGTGACCTGTGAAGATCCGGGTTAGAATTGGTCTTCATCTACCCATGCTTGTCGTAAGTGGCGACTAACGGGATCAAGTTGTCAGGCTTACTGTCATTGACACATGTCATTAAATCCCAAATGTGTAGATTGATGCTTATGCTATTGATCACTGGATTGTCTGGTCCAGACTCAATTATTTACAGATCGCAGCCATATAGCTGTAATATTGCTGAGTGAGTCGTTAAACAACAACAACCAATCATTTATGACATGTCTCTGTATGGTATGGCTTTGTATTTGAAGCATTCATAAAATCCCAACAACCACCATGATTGACCTGTGTGTGTTCCGCATCTGTTGAGAACATCAGCAGCCCATGTTGCTATACAGTTTGTGTCATCATGCATGACATGCGCACCACAAGCACCTGCAGTCTTAATGAATGCATTCTTTCTTAAAACACATCTTTTATAAACTATTAAAAACCAGGTTGTTTTCCTCAAAACAAAATATGAAAATGATTTATCAGAGACATGTAAATATGACAGATGGTCGGCCGATGTAAATCTGTGCATTCTGCAACAAGGCAGCTGTGTACAATCTAGCCCTGTGTCGCATTCCTTCACACACTAATTACCATTATTACACTGAATCACTACCAGGACACAGAGCAGTGAGCCACTCGCTGTATATCAACTTTCTTGCGTACATAGAGACAAGGCTTATTGTCTGGACTTGCTGGCTTTGTCAAGGCTTCTAATGGACTTCGTCCTTGTTCGGATCACTTGTTCCGAGTTATTTATGTAAAGTACACTTTGATGTGATATTATGATTGTGTGGTTATGTAAGTCACCCTAAATTCTGCTCTTTGATGTTGCAAAATTTGAGGGGGTGCCCATGAACCAACACAGTGTATGCTGATTGGTCAATACTCTATGACTTAGTATTCATGATCCGTTTCTGGTATGTTTCTGCATGTGTGTGTATACTCACATCTGTTCAGTCAAACCTGCACACATGTTCTCTTAAACACACACACACACACACATATTCTCTCTCTCCCTCTCTTCTCTCTCATGCACACATATTCAGTCAAACTTGCACACACATTCTGTCGACACACATATTCTCTCTCTCTCTCTCACACACACAGACATTTTCGGTCAAACATTCGTGCACGTACACACACACGCACAGACAGAGACATTTTCAGTCAAACATATTTGCGAGCGTGCACACACACACACACAGAGAGACATTTTCAGTCAAACATATATGCATGCGCACACACACACACACACAGAAGGAAAAGATACCTTTCTAATGAATGTTTAAGACATCACAATTCACTGCACATAGTTGTGTTCCTTAAGAATGTCAGGATCTATTTTCAAAATCCGGAATTTTTTTAGCTTGAATTTAATAATGTTAAGTCTGTTGGCGCCATACTTGACTGAAGCCTGGGTCTGATGAATTGTTTGGTCTAGTAAGATCAGCTAACAATAACAAAATGTACAAAACGTATGCTAATTGCCATGCACATTAAAAGTGGATTTTTTAACAGACTTTTGATAAATGTCGACAAGCAGATACACCATGAAATAACCGAACAAAAGTTCAGAGGGACATTAAAACCAACTCGCTCACTCACTCAGCCACCTACTCACTCACTCACTCACTCACCCAGTGGATGTTGGTTTGAATGATATCCCAGTCGAACGGAAGGAGGCCAGTGTGAGAGAGTGCGTTGTGACATTGTAAGATGGTATTTAAGTGAGTTATCAGAGTATGCAGCATACAGTATTGCCTTACATGCTGTCACGTTTAACCAAGGCAGCTTCCTTGTCTATCCCACAGTTAACCTTGTCTATCCCTTCAGTTAACCTTGTCTATCCCTTCAGTTAACCTTGTCTATCCCTTCAGTTAGAAAGTCTGCAAGAGCTTCTACTGGGTAGTTTTAGGGTTGTCAGCTGTACCAGTGTGTTTGCAAGTGTTGAAAGGTCGGCTTTGAATGGTGTGAGCGTTCCCTTATATTGTTCTGGTGTTGAACACTTCACTCACTTATTCAGTAGTGACCTAGATCCTTCCGTGAGCCCTGGTGTTTGTTTGACTGTACCGTACGCATGAAACATAGTAACTCACAACTGCCTCACTCCACAACCTTCTTGGTCTTGGTTGAAATACGCACAAAATAAATCCAGTTTAAAGTTGAGATACACACACTCACTAGTAGGTTGTAGGGCCCTCCCATGCGTCATCTCCTCTCACTTGGAGTTGAAAGTTCAGTGCCATCCCAACTGAATTATATTGCCACTACACTGTCCTTATCTAACCACCCACCCATCCATCCATCCGTCCATCCATCTACTCATTTATCCATCCACCCATCCATCCATTAACCCATCCATCCAACTACCAATCCATCCACCCATCCACACCTGCAAAGGTCCGGGTTAGAATGTACCTTCAGCAACCGACCACCGCGGTGTAGTGGTTAGAACGTCCGCCCGGAGAGAAGGAAGGTCGCGGGTTCGATCCCCGACCGCTTCATACCAAAAAACGTCAAAATATGGTACTTGTTGGTCCCCTGCCTGGCGCCCGGCATTAATGGGTACAACATGGACTGGTGGGCTTGGAGTCAGTATAATGTGTCTGAGTGGGGTATTCATGCTTCACTGCGGCATGGTATCTCAGTGGGCTAGCACTATAAAACCAGCTTCAGTCTGGGCTAGGTACAAGCAGTTGCACATACATATACACATTGCATGCAAGTCGTCATATGAGCAAAATATTCTCAAGCACAACGTTAAACCCAATTTCACCTCACCTCACCTTCAGCAACCTAAGAGGCGACTAACGGGATTGGGTGGTCAGGCTCGCTGGCTTGGTTGACACGTCATCAGTTCCCAATTACGCAGATCAATGCTCATGCTGTTGATCACTGGATTGTCTGGTCCAGACTTTATTATTTACAGACTGGCGCCATATAGCTGGAATATTGCTGAGTGCGGTGTACAACTGAACTCATCCACTCCACCCATCCACCCACCCAATATGTGCCAAATGCTATTGCATTTACTCGCCTAAACTAGCTTCATTTTTCATCATGCCACCAGATACTCACATCAAACTAGTGGCATAAGTCACAGACTGCCATCTGTGTACCACCGATCCATCTACCCATTTTCCCATTCCCATTTTTCCTGCAATCTCTCCATTTTTCCTTCTGTTCTTTTTTCATCCATCCTTCCTGCAATCTCCCTTTTGTAGCTTCTATCGTATCCCTCCATCCATCCTTCATCTAGTCTGCCCATCCTTCCTTCAACCTATCTATCCCCTCCCCCATCCACCTTTCTTCCCCTCCTTCCATCATTCCTCACGTCCTTCTATCCATCTGATTATCCGTCCTTCGCCGCCTCCCCTCTTGTCATCATATCATCCGCCCACCCAATCCCATAAAGTCAAATTCCAACTATCCAATCAGGGTACATAAAACTTGTGAATGTAGAGATCCACTTTTCTCACACTACTCCAAACACTGTCTCCAAAGCTAGAACTCATATTTCAGCAGATAAACAACAACAACTCAAATGATTTTCAAGATTTTTATTTCATTTGATTTATTTCTGTGTAATCATTGTTCTCTCACCTGTAGAATCATGCTATGTACATGACTATCATTATGCCATTTATAATTACAACATCAGAGACTTGGCAACGTACCTGTGATTTAATTGTCGTCAAAGTTGTGTGGTTGAGTCACAACATTTACCCTCACCACCACAACGGTCACCTCACCAAGGTCAACAGAAAAATGGGGCCCAAAGCAGAAAAGTCAATTTGTGTATCTGGTTGATTTTTTTCTGTTAATTTTAAATTTGATACAGGTGACTTTGTTCGCCATGTCCGTTGATTTGGTCTGTATTTGATACAGCTGAGTGGAGCTTCTCCACACAATACATACAACCGATTTCAACTTGTTTTGTACATACAATTTAAGCATGTTGTAATGCCAGTAGTATTCCAATCATGGAACCCTTGTTTCAGAACACTTTAATACTTTTTGAATGAAAATATATGCTAAAGTGAAGGCTACAATATGTCTTAATTCAATTCTATTTTTGCTGCTATTAGTTAATTACAATTTGAAAAATCATTTTATCCATTATTTTATTACATTCAGTCAAAGTACATCTGACATTATTAACTGATATTCAAAATTCAGTTCTATCAAATATTATTTTCAAATAAGATTATATTTTCAAACCTTTGAAAAATAATCTACCTGTATAGAAAATTATAAAAGCATTATAAATGTACAAACATTTTTACAATTACAGTTTGAAATTTGTACAATCATTACAGTATCATACCCTAAGCAATAGACGTATGTGTTTGGCGGCTTGAAATTTACTGCTCATAAGAAATGAATGTTTCCATGATAGATTAGCTTTCAGAATTGTAAGAATCGGGTTTTCCTTAAGTGTTTTAAAATCCATCACAGATTAACTTTATTAATGGGAAGAATCCTGTGTGTGTCTTTGATTTATTATTTTAAGTGAGTGAGTGAGTTTGTTTTACACCGCTTTTAGCAATATTCCAGCAATATCACTTGGGGGACACCAGAAATGGGCTTCACACATTGTACCCATGTTGGGAATCGAACCCAGGTCTTTGAACGCGCTTTAACCACAAGGCTACCTCACTGCCCCGATTATTTTGAATAACACGAGGATGTGTTGGTCCTTAACAGAGTTGTAAATATTGCATCATACTCCAGCATGTTTAGCTTCATTTGTATAGGCATACATGCCGATCTCTCTGTATGGCAATTTGAAATGTATGCTATAAAGTGTATTGGGTAAACCAGAATTTGTATAGCAGGGTGGGGAGGACACCAGTCACTACGGAATGACCTTGTTTGGGTTTCCGTTATCAACATAACTGTGTCGTCAGGATCCAACCACTTGTGTCGGCGGTTATCTTCGTAATACTTAAACTTTAGATGGGTTCTGCCTTAGGTACAAAACCTAGGGTAGGATAGAGTACTCTGAAGAGGTTGCATATCATCAAACTGCCCCCATCAATGTTACTTACTTGGTTAAAGGAGTATGGATGTTTGTACTATTAATTGTTTGTTGAAGGTGATTTGTTTATTTAGCATTTGTAAAGATTCAGGCTCAACATTCAGGTATAATGTAATGACATATTTCTTATGATGTACTTGAGAATCAAGAATTACAAATGGTATGGGATACTGGCCATGAAAGTACTTGATGAATAAATACCATATAGCATTGTTGGTATAGAATTAATTGAGTTTTTGAAAAAAAAGTATTCAAAATGATGATTTTTAAAAATATGATTTTGTGTTTATGATCATGTTATACATTGGAGAGGAATGATGGCTTTGTTTGGACTTTGTTGGGTTTAAAACTTTGTTTGTATTTGTTGGCTATTCAGTCTAGACACAAAACTGCTATATAATCAGTTTAAATATATACATATGATTAATAATGTACACATTATATCAGATATCCCCTTTTGTATGATGAATTCTTAATTCAGTTGATTTGAACAGATTTGGTATAATTCATTATTAACATTTTTAACTTGCAGTTATGTTGTAAAGGTAAAGAATTAATGAGAGACATTGAAGGGGAAGTGATATAAATTAGCACCAATCAGTTGAAACACATTTATTTCAAATTCATTTCTCGACACAAAGACTCAATCACAGTCACGTCACATGACATCAAAAGCATACACAAACAAGTCTGTCAGTATCATGTGTTATTATTTACTTTTTGTTTGTTTTATATTAAAAGATTGTTCGTGAATACTATTAACTAATTTACTTAAGTTATTATCTTGGGGTTGTTATTAGATATTTCATGTAGCTTGATACAAGATGAATGCTTTTTTGACAACTGTTTTATTTTGATTTTCGGAATATCCCAGAATTCCTTGTTTTCTCACATTATTTCATTCACACAGACATCACAATACACACGACATACTGTCCGCAACACACAATACACAAATCAACACACTGATTCTTATAAATTAATACTGTATACAACAACGATTTGGCATTAGGCCACATATATGACAAAAAGCAGTCTTTTCCTCAAATCTGCAATATTTAAAGCTAAATTAGTCCACATATAATTCTTGAAACACATATGACTTTGTCAATAGCAGCCTGGAATCAGCAACATTCAGTGAATTTCCAATCAAAATCCGGACACGTCACATCAGTCTAATTTCTAATTTCACATTCGACTTCATTCTCAACAATTCCTCACTTATGATGAACATCTTGCATAGACGTTGAAAGGAGAAAGTTAAAGGCACTGTGTCTGTGGTGATCAGTGAAAAAGTCCATGGTTCAAAACCAAAAAAACACTTCCTTCAGTCACAACAGTCCGGTTTATTATTTTGGAGAAGGTGAGCTTCTTGTTCTGAAAATCTCCCATGTAGACATTTGTTGAAATGGAAATGACAGGAAAGAATACCATGTAGACATTTGTTTGTTCCTTCAAATGGAAATGTCAGGAAAGAATGTACAACCCTGTTGAATTGTCCGAAACATTTTGCTCAGTGTTCCTTCAATCATAAGAATATCTTCTTTTTGTACGATTGTTGAAGGTGAGCTGCATGTTCAATATTCTCCCATAATTGTTTACACGGGAATGTCAGGAAAGAATTAAAACTTGCTGAATTGCAAAAAGTGCTTCGTGTGTCCTCACCAGGACATTCTTTTCCTGTTATTCAAGAGTTACTTGACATTAATCATCCAGTGTATAAATGCCACCGGAATCGGTGGCCATTATTCATAAATGCTTTTGGTTGGCGCAGTCTGTGGAAGATTTGAAGGCGTCATAGCTGTGGTTTTATAAATAGCGACCAGAAATTGTCCATCTTTGCAGATTCAGGTCTTAAAATGGCAGCGTGATTTTTCAACACAGTTGGAATGTAGGTTCACCAGTAATAAGCCTTTCCATCTTTAGTCTTCTCCAGGAAAAACTTTTTGATGAACTTTTTTCTCCACGATTTGTGCTTTAATAATGTCTTGAAGTTTGGTGGCAGCGGTGCCAGTTCAGGCTTCCCAAGGTAGTCTGACGAAAACTTACTCTCCATATTGGTACAGTTGGAATCTGGAACAGATAAATCATTCATGGTAAACAAATTTATCTTCACAAATTGGCTAACATAGGAGATATTGCTGCAGTGAAATACAGTCGAGCACTGTTGTGTCGAACTCTGATAATTCGATATCTCGGTTGTCTCGATATAACATCTTGGTCCCGGCAAAATCCGGAGATATGTGATGATGTGCCCTGGTCGGATGTGTCGAGGTTCGGATATCTCAATATTTTTTCTTGGTCCCATGAATATCAAGACAACAGTGCTCGACTGTATACCACATTGATGTTCTGACCATTGTGACATCCTCAAAGTATTATGATGTCACAATTAAATTGCAAAGCCCTTTTGAACTGGTTGGCTTAACATATTAACCTCAAGTATGTTGTTACTGTTTCAAACTTAAAAGGTTGGAAAAATAATTTGAGATCTCGCAATCTTTTCCTTTAATATAAAATATGTCAACACTTGTCAATAAAATTTTTAGACTGGGGTTTATAGTCTAGAAAAAAAAGAGATAATACTTCAATAAGTAATTGTATATTGATAATATTGGTATGGATTTTGAATATATGATAAAAATAGTTTACCTGGTGACTCCCAGAATTCCACAGTGATTAGACTATGCCCAGCAATCCAATCTTTTGATTGGTGGAAATGGTTACAGTCCCATAATGCAACATGACCTTTTGGCCGATTCAGCTTCTTCGTGTATGTTATCACTCGAAGAATACCCTGTTTCCCAGAAATTCTTCTTTGTATCAATAGGGTCCATTTGGTGTAATTTTGACACAGTTGGGTATCCATATTTATCTGCCATGAAAGGTCCATATGCTATTGGGTGGTATATATACTGCAAGCCATCTTTACCAGGAACGCTGTCCGTTCCGTATTTGGATAAACGGATGATATTTTTCCCAAGGGAGTGAACTCCACTGACTTTGTTTAGTGCATAGGACAGGCGTAAGGCACTTGTGTCATGTAGAAGAAGATTGCTGTGGGTTCCGATCATCGTCAATAGATGATGATTGTGGAGGCGTCCCCCGAAATTCCAGTATCCGGGATAATTGGCTTGAAGTTTTGCAAAAGATGGAAGCTGTATCTGGAAAATAAAAATAAAAGTATGAATTTAAGCTATGATTCATTACAGAATATAAGGAAAACTGATAAACAGTTTGATGTTGATGTTTCATGTTTCATTTAATATTGTCTCATTCTTTCAAGGTGTATGTATCGTGATACGTATAGTATCGCAGGTAAAATATCGCGATATGTATCGTATCGTGACATAGTGTATCGTCCCAACCCTAAGACTGACTGTATGTCATCTTATCCCAGCTGTACAAATTGGTGTTCATGATGTCAATCACTTGATTGTCTGGTCCAGATCATATATCGGGAGTGTTGCTGAGTGCAGCATTAAACAACTTACCAGCAAACAAATAAAACTAACAAACAATGGTTCTTCTGGTTATACCTTCATTAATCCCACATGCAGCTTTTAATACAGTTTAAATAAACACACTCATGGATATTGAAAAATGTCTGAAGGCTTGGCTGGACCTTAAACTTCAATTAATGCATCATTGTGTTCCATACTTGAATAGGATTAAGTTTGTTTGTTGTTTATGCATTGATTAATTCATATCATTCTTGTGTTGGTATCGTGTGTCCCGGCAGAGAACAGTGGATGCATTTATAACAGGACTGCAAGTCATGATCTGAATGCTTGTCTCACACGACATGTAGCAATATTGATATAGCTTGTAATAATCTTATCGGAAATCAGATTTTTATGTGGCTTTATTCAATAAAATGTCAGGTGATATTTGTCAAACAAGTCTTCAATGTCAGCGAAGTTAAATGAGTCAGCGTTTGAAAAATGTTATCTTGAGAAGTATGGCGTCTCCCACTGTGTCCGAATCTACAGTATTAAGACAAATGTTGTTGAGGAAATTCTTTAACCCCTACGCAGTGAAATATTTTAAATATCAAACCGATGAAAACACCTACAAATAAGATGTTGTTATGGAGAGAAAAAGATGTGTTTCCATATGAATACATTCAGTTAAAGGTTTATGAAAATGTCGAGGAATTGTGACCTACATCTGACCTTGTACTAGGGCATAGATTAAGGGTTAAGCAGGACAGGCCTGTCTATCTTGGCATGTCCACGTGTACCGCATACTGGCAAAGGCCATGAGAATCGTGAGCTAGGTCATGTGACATATTACTGTGTCACTCGCAACGAAGACACAATCCTTCAACAGTAAGGAAAACACAAGAACATCAAATACAAAGTTCTTTACAGCGAATTCTACATAATTCACATTTTAACCTCAGGGGCCTTTTGTGAGCTGTTTTGAGGGTGAACTGCTCGACAGTGATATACCATTAAGTGTAGGGGGGGATTACTCAGGCTGCATTCATCACAAACATTTCAACTTTCGTGAACTCATTTTTTACCACGTCTTAGCATGAGCTAACTCGGCTTCAAATCTTGGTCAACATATGCAAGAAAACAAAACTTGAGGGCATGAAAAACATATATTCTGTGTCTTCTGTCCATTAAACAGCAAATGCTGTGAAAGGTTTCAGAATGGAAATGGAAACATGGAGTCTCTTATTCACGTCACCCTTCCTTTTGAAATCAAGTGTCTCAGAGATCATTAAATGGCCATTAAACCACAGCGTTTTGTCTTTGTTCTCGTATATTTGCATGTCCGAGAGTAGGTCTACCAGTGGCCCCAAGGGGGCAGATCAAGGAACACTTATGTTGATAAGTAGATGGCTTAGGGAGTGATACCATTGAAGCTGCAGGCCAAACATGACATTGACAGGGGCTGATCAGTCGACCTGAGAGGATATATTTCACCTTCACACCAACCTACAACACATGCCATAAAACACAGGCGCACAACGTGAAGCCGGATGCATGTGTAATTTTGACATTTCGGGAAATTGTTGAAGTGGATGCTGTGAGTGGTTGTGCAAATTTTGTGTATAATGACAACCCCTCGGGCCGATGGTTAAGTGTAGTCAAGGGAAACTTCAGACCATTCTCCATGGCTGACCACCGGTCAAATTCAGTGGTATCATAGACTGACTGCAAACATGTTTTGTAAATGAAGAGCTTCAACAGGTACTCACTGCTATCACATCTCAGTGTCACTCGGACTTCGTATGATTGATGTATGATTAAGTGGGTTTCATACACTGTAGGGAAAACGTGAGAGCCATTTTGAGTCCTCATCACCAGTGATTGATGTCAATGGCTTGGTTTCGCTTTGGTTTGACTACACCACTACAACAAGAGTTCTCTCCCCTTCAGATAAACATTAAAGCTGATCCTTCTGATTAAGTGGTGTCGACTTCAGCCATATTTGAATGTTTGAGGTTTGCGAACCTAAGTGTTTTTGATTGAAAATTGGTTCTTTTTTAAAAAGATGTTGTTATGCTGAAATTTTTTGAATAAATTTGGAAGATATTTGACATGCTTATGGTAATATTTGACAAAGACTCAGACAGAATATGGTTTGTGGAAAGGCTTTCTGTTTCGACACACCTGTCATAAATGCTAATTCTTCAATCTGAATGAATAAAACATGAAACAAACCTTCCTATAAAAGAGACTGTATAAAAAAACACGTTGTAAAATTGTCCAGTTACTGATTGAAGTTGACGTAAGCTAAAAGTTTTGACAAAGTAAAGAGGATTCCTCGGAATAAATGAATATATTTAGTGTGTTGTACAAGGGAGAGCTGTGTGTTTGGTTTGTCAAGGAGACATATGAGCTATGTGATGGCGGACTGAGGTGGACATGTTGCTGTGCTACGATGTCCCCGCTAGCTACATGGCTGTCACAGAAGGGTCACGTGGGATCCCACGTCTAAAACACTTAACAACCAGCACAAACAGCTATTAAAACTGTCATAAACTACCTGTACCACAAAACACTTTTTAAATCTTTCCAAAAATTTAACTGGGTTGAAATTTTTATTTTTGTTATTGCCAAGGGACTATAATTTTAAGAGTTATTTCAATGAAGATCATGATTAAATATTTGACCAAACACATTGTAATAACCAAAATTCATGGCACTTTTATAAACTGTCTTGCAGTTGGTAATATTATAATGGTGTCTTGAACAGGGCTCCTTTGTAAATATGCTGTGCGTTTATGCAAGGAAAACATAAAAAACTAAACTATTTTTTGTTGCATAAATATTGCTGGCATATTCTATTATGGAATATTGTTTACAACATAAACATTCTTTATTGGACCAAATACCCTGTTCTCCTAGCTTGGAACCTGAGAAAGTTGAAGTGATATTTTTGCTCACTATCTTTTTATTGGCGATCAGCGAACATGATATTTTGAAAAATTAATCTCTTATGGCTGGACAAATGACGTGTTTTGCCAGCAAGCACGAGAGTGTTGGTTTACCCTGCTCATTGTCTCTGTTTTCATAGAATCAGCCATCTTGTTTACTTTGCAAGTTTGTACTGTTAAAGATTATAACACTGTCTTACGATGCACTCACCCAGCTATCTGGACAACAGAATATTAATGTTGTGCTTGAAATCAAAACTTGAACATAGCATGTGACAGATGGCGCCCAGGAAGGCTTAGACATATAGCTAGGAGCGCAAACTGACAAAAAAATAATTTTCCATCAATTACTTTCTAGCCGTGTGAATAAGAGACAGAAACGTTCGGACATCTTGACCCCATGTCAGTATCAACAAAACCTCCCATAATGCCCCGGGCTATCCCATATCGTGAAGGATTTAACAAAATCTGGGCATGGCCAACTGGGGAGTTGGGTTCTATGTGAGGTGAGACAACCTTCGACCTGGGTTAGCAAGGTATGTTATCATGGGCTACCATGTTGACAGGCCTTATCCTGGGCATAAGAGAATAGGCGGAGTTACCCTCGGGGAGGGACTGTGGAAGAATCGTAATTAAATTCTTTGGTAACTCTGGTTTTGTGGTTGGTGTTATGTGGTGGATTATCCGTGTTTGATCTGATAGAAATGTTGGGACAGTGTTATAAATCTGTGTCTGGGCCGGGTCATTAGCGTGTAATTATAGGTCACGTGACGGAAATGAATTCGGAATAACTTGGATTGGGTTGACATTTAAATCTGTCCTCATCAGTCATGAAGTCGGAAATAGATATTTTTTATCTGCACTAAACATGAAATATCATTTATATTCAACTGAATTTGAATGTACAGAGTGACACATACCTATTTGAAAAGTTTTAGATGAATAATCCTGGAAATTCATTGTGTTGATTATTGAGTTACAAATAAAGAAAAAAGAATAAACATTAAAAGAAAACATTTAATAGAAAGTTTAGTATCAAACAGAAATATAATCCGATACAATATAAGAGTTTCTTAAGACTCCCTTTCTAAAAATTCAAACATGTCCTGTGCTGAACCCATTTTCTCCTGTAGTCTGAGTTCAGATTCACCCACGTGTGAAAGAGAAATAGAAAGTTATTTGAAAACGTGCACCAAGGGCGGAGACATTTAATTGATAGGGCTGTATGCAGGATGTGTTGTAGATCCCGACGGTATGTCGTCCGCCCACTAGGGGCCTATGTCAGTGTCGACTCTCCTGAACAGGAGGTCATAAAGTTAGGTACAGTTGCAGGCGAAATTGCCTCTCCACGTGACTTTGTCTCCTGGGATATTATTTGCATTATCTCCCGGTCGATATGAGACGTTTATGCATGTAATGTTTAAATTTAAACCCCCAGCAATTGTTGACAGTCAACAATTCAATAACATCTATAAAAAAGTAGTATTTCTTTTATGAGCTGATTTAAGTAGTTCAGTGGATTTTTTGTTGAATGTAATCAAAAATATTTAAATTTGAATGTTAATGTTGTCAGCATTATCTTTACATCAAGTTCATTCATGCTTTGAATTTAACATGGGTTTTTCCTGTGTATGGAGTTAGACGTTGCAGTTGACTGACGAATTTTATAGTTTGGTTTCAATGAATGATACAAAGAACCTTTGGCATGGCGTTTATTGCAGTGAGAAGTCTGGGTCAAATTTCCATGTCAAATGTTTTTGCTAGATTGTA